AGCTTTCAAAGGAAACAAGGATTGGCATTCTCAATTTTTTACATTGTAGGAAAGAAAATCGCCAAGACCGAAGACTACATTTTAATCTCCTGCTTCCTTTCAGTGAGAAAATAAAGGAGCTACAACAAATTGGATTTAATGTACTGATGCAGTTGAGGAATTCAGTTTCTTAAGAAAAAAAAGCCTTACAAGCACACTATCTTAAAAAGAAGGCAAGAGTACTAAAAAAGCTATCCAGACTTCCTGTTTCTCCAGATGATTTTGGTTTTGAGTGAGGATTGCAAAGCTGAGCAACCCAGACTGAAAGTTCTACTTGTCTGGAAGGCAGGATACATTAGCCTGAGCCCAGTGCAGTGCTAACAGGGCAAAATAGCCTTCTGGACAGTTTACTCGAACAGTCAATGCCTGAGAGTGAGGCATGAGTGACAAGCTGTGTACAGCTCATGAGTGGAAACACACGCAGAACACTTGCTGTAATTAAAGTGTCACAGAAACAAACAGTCTCTCAGGGTTGCAACTAAATTGTCATTTCCTGTGATTACAAAGACATCTGTATTATCCAGACAGGAACTGCAGTATTGCTGGATCTGACAGCTATATTAAAATATGAAGAATGGGAGACTACAAGCACTGTTTAGGGCTTGAAAACATTGACCAATTCTGAAGAAACAGCCAGACAAATTAAATATATCTAGCTTTAAGATTTGCTAAAACATACAAAAAATTCTTAATTACACAGACAAGCTTAATACCATGTAAGACCATGAGTGTCCCTGCAATTTAATTTGAGTCTTATTTGTGCCATAACCAAAGACAGAATTCCAAACACAGAAGAGTTCTTGACTTTTCTTTCCTCCACAGAATACCAGGACAAGACAGGGATATAGGAGGGAGATAAAAAAACAGAGCAGCATAAAACATAGCATAGCCACTGAATTTAAGAAATAAATTTTCAATACATGTGATAAATTAAATAAAAATAAAAAATTAAACTATTGCACCAGCTGGGACAAAGGGACTGTACCCTCTTAACACCAGGCACACCAGCCTGGAAACCTGAAAAATACCTTACGAGGAAACCCATGTTGGAACACATTATGTTAAAGTGATTAGCTTTTATGACATCAGTGAGTCACTATGCAGGAAATGATTCAGTATTCAGAAAATTGATGGGAACTCTCTTGTAACCATACATCAATATTTAACATATATAAATATCAATCTCAAATGCAGAATCTGAACTGTAAAGTAACAAAGATCAGCAGTCTGCCTTAGACATAGGCAGTGTATAAGGCAAAAGAAAGAGTAAGAACCACTCTAGAGCGGGGGTGGGGGGAAAGTCTGCTTAAGCTGAGATAGAGTTTAACACAAGGATGTTCTGGGCAAACAGTTCCAGATTTTGCCCAGTCACTTCTTTGCCTGAGCTAACTTCAACACAGTGGTCTCCAAAGTGGGGTGCGTACAACAATCCTTTGGGGTATGGGAAGAAAATACTTTTCGGACTGTTAATGAAAAGAAAGTGTATACTTCATCTTTGTCTCACCCTTTTTAATTCCTATTTTTGTGTATGTTTGTAATGTACATATTAGTACAGTAGTACATGTGTAGAATTTATAAATAAATAAATATCCCGATATTGGGAGAGTGCTCATAGTTTTTTACTGATAGGGTGCACGATCAAACATCTCACTGCCCCAAGACACATTCAGTATTCTTTGCAGGATCTCAGAGAACAAAGAAATGTCTGCCTTCGTGAGTTTTGAGTACTCCAGCATTGAGCTCCTTGATGATTTGGGATCCCTCTCCCATCATGTTTTGAATGATACTGGAATTCAAACTGTCTTCTTCAGTTAGACACGCCATGAATGACACACTTCTTTTGACTGTCCCCCTCTGAGCTGTTATTTTTAAGAACTTCAGAGCTGTTAATTTTAACCACTTTAAGGCCTTAAGTGCCCTACCCTCACTATAAAAATGCACTATTTCTGTAGAAGAGCACAGCCAAAAGCACTGTCCTCTAATGTTCAACTACAACAAATCCCAGGGAAAAACATGTCCCAGTGACAGCAAACACTTCTGACAAAAGCAAATGAAGGCCAGAATACACCTTGTCATTACTACAATCGACGCTTATCACTAGGCAATCACTTCATCTGGAGATACTGAGTGTGGTACAGAACAAGCTGTTCTTAGAATAGACCAGAATAGTTCCAGGTGGAAGAGATTTCAAGTAATGATCTAGTCCAACTGCCTGATCACTTCAGGGCTGATCAAAAGTTAAAGCATATTATAAAGAGCATTGTCCAAATGACTCTTAAAACGCTGACAGGTACGGAGCATTGACCACCTTTCTGGAAAGCCTGTTCCAGTGTCTGACTACCCTTTCGGTACAGAAATGTTTTCTAATAACTAGTCTGAAACCTCTTGATCAGCTGTGCATTAGTTTAAACATATCTGACTGATGATCAGGTGGTCTACTGCAGTTTCACTTTCCTAATCACATTTGCCACCAGACACCTGCCAGCAAAGTGAAACATCCAATTCCCAGATGAGTGGGCATATTCCTAAGAAATCCAATCAAATTGACACACACAAGAAAAAGTTACTTTCTGGTGAATAACTATTTTGATCATAGATTTTTCAGCTTCACGCTTGTTCATTGTAATTTGGGTACTCCAAACTGTGAGACAAAGTTAAGAATGCTGAAAATTGTAGAACATTCAGTTCGGCATAACAACTGTAAACCAAAATTACTTCTAAATTTCTCCAATCTCCTATATCCACATTTATTTCATCCTTTACAGCAAACTGCCTTATTAAATGTGAATATGGAAAAGTTTCTCTGTAAGTTATTTAAAATCCATTAAGATCATATGTAAAACATTTTGCAGGCCTGTGAAATACCATTTGAAAGCGTCAACAAACACTAAACACAAGTTTGAAAAGGTAGACCTTGCTACCTTAACAACAGCCAGTGGAATAGAAAAGCATCATTGAAAAGGAAATATAGAATGTTTATTTAAAATAGTTTCCATTACACAGCAAATGATCCTAAATCAGATCTCAAAGTGTTTTACAAACAGTAATGTAGTATGCCTCAGGCAGAATTATAATCCCAAATTTGCTCTTACCTGCTAATAAAGAATTCAAACAGATTACAGCACATATTCACTACTCCAAAATGCTACTAACAGTAGGAGAGCAAAACACTAAAATTTGGAATTATGTGAACACTATTCTAAAACAGCTCAGAAATAAAAAGCAATTTGGCCAAAAAAGCAATTGGCCAAAACATTACAGGCACATAAGTGATACAACATGTTCTGCTGCCAGGTCATCCTGGGTCAGAATAAAAGATATGAAAAAACAAGAAAAGTCGGAAAGAGTGATTAAAAGATGTTAATTATGACTGGTGTTAACAATCGGAAACCTGCTAGTAGGAATATTTCTTCCCTTCTCTCTCCCCAGTAAGGAGCTACGAGTTTCTAACACACTTTAAGAGTTCGTCTGACAGGCACACTATACTCACAGCGATAACAATGCAAAATCATACCTCTCACTCCAACTACCTAGTGTAGTCCAAGCTCCTGACTGCAGTTTCTCACAAACAGCTATATAAGAACACACTATCAAGATACAACAGAAACTGCTTCATACTTGAGCCTTCACATAAGAAAGCAAACAAAAATCAAACCCCAAAGACTTGAGATTTTTTAGAACAGTCTGACTGCATATAGCTTGGCTAAAAATTAACAGCAGGTCTGTTCAATAATTCCAAGTAACAGAGTGGGTTTAAAAGAGCTCATACCTTCCCTCCACTTCCCCCAGATAATAAGGGAGGCCAAAGAAGTAGAACATGAATCATTAGCTATATCAGCAAATTCAGAAAAGAAATCAGTGACAGGTATCCCTCAAAATCTTGCAGGCAATCATAAAAAAAAACAAAAAAACAACCAAACATCTTTTCTTCTTCCTCAACTCTGAAATTGTCAAAAATAAAGTGCAAATGCTGCGTTCCTGAGGAGTTTCATAAAATCCATTCCAAGTACTGGCAATAAAATGATCTACTGCAAGACAGAAAAGCCTGTATTGCTTCAAAGGCCACAGACTACTTCCATTTTACTTCAGGGCTCAGACACATACAAATTACTCCAAATATAAGGTAATTTATCTTATATTTGTTATGAACAGAACATACACTTACTGCAGATGCATACTGTAGCAGTCTCATGGCAACCTGTCACCACACAGTAGGTCTTCCATCTATCTGGATCTTTAGACATTACAAGGGAGTATCTCTGCAAAAGGACAGTACCTTCCTATCCAACAGACAGGAACAGGAGGATAACTATCTAAGGAACTAGATGATCTTAAGATCTTTCCAACCCTAACTATTCTGTGATTCTATGATCACAAGATACTGGAATATTTATCATATTAGTCATGATGTACACTATTAAAAAATTAAGCCTTCTCCTGTTGTTTTAGCATTTTGGCTTGCATTGAAGAAACAGTGAGTAGGAAACTGCATAATCAGTTTGAATATTTTTAAGACCAGATTACTTTCTACTGAGTCTGAGCCACGTGCAAATAAAATAGAATCTATGCAAACAAAATAAATATTTCTTTAACCTTTCCTGCCTAACATTTTAAAAATAGTGCTCAAAAGGAAGCTGCTTCCATTTTTAAAGGGTAGCCTTAAAGGCGGAATAAAAAATATTTATAAAAATGTGTTAAAAATTTAAGCAAGTTTATTGTAAGCTATTTCAGATTAAAAAATTTAAGTTTATCTTAAAATTATTCTAAGCAGTTTTCAGGGGAGCCATTTCTGAAGACTTTAAGACTTGTCATGGAGAAAAAAAAAGCTAAAACACATCCATTCCTTTAAGAAGTTTCATTCATTTCTACAGGACCACAAGTTCTTTGTATTGTATAGTAAAATAAGTTAAATAATTTAACTAATACTGCTCTAACAATGTTTCTCCATTCTACTAACTTACAACTGGTCTTGCAGTTCCACAATTATATATTCCAGCTGTTCCTTCTCCATTTTATGGGCTAGGTCCATATCTTCAATTCTTTGTAACAGCAGTTTATTCTGTGAGACAGATTCAGATAGCTGGTTTTCTCTGAGTCGTACCAATTCTTCAAGGTAACCCTGGAAATACAAGCGTTAGAAAGCTTTAAGGAACACACTGTCAAAAAAACCTTTTCATTATGTTCGTTCACATTTTTCTGGTTTAAGATGTATACAGTTCTACTTTGGTTTTGTTGTAGACTGGGGTTTTCTTTTAATCTTTACACAGACTAATAAACTGACTAAAGGTTAGTATGATGTTTCCTAATAAGTACCAAGAAAATCATGTACTTATTTATACTGCTGCAGAGGAATAGAATAATGGATGGAACAATGAGACAAGAATGCCACCAGCACGAAATATTAACTCATTTTTCAAAACCAACATAGAACAGTCACTAGTACAAGAAAAAGATCAGAACTGTAGGTCTCAACAGATACAGGATGTTAGATATTACCTAAGAAGAACAAGAGTAGAATGCACCTATATGGATCTGTATAGTTAATGAAAGGGAAACAATTATTATTACAAAATATCCAATGTTACTTTGAAATTTCTTTGAAAATTGCAATACCACATCACACACACAGATGACATGGAAGGTTACTGAAATAAATATTCATCTTCAGCTGACACCATAAAAGATACTGTACAGTTCTTATCACACTTCAACTAGTTAGTCTTTTACAAAAATCCACAACGTCTTTTAATAGCAGCTGTGATGGCACAGTGGTCACAAAGTATGTTCACAAATTACACACCTCATTACAATATTAAGTAGCTATTTATTTTTCTTGTTCAAGTCCCAGGACATCACATGCTAGTAACTTCTTATCAATTCTGAATTAAACCTGGATACAGTAAGTCTATAATGAATAAAATTTAGCAAATTCCTTGAAGTCCAAGGCAAAATAAGTAATTAGAATCACAGAACCACAGAACCATAGAATAGTTAGGGTTGGAAAAGACCTTAAGATCATCTAGTTCCAACCCCCTGCATTGGACAGGGACACCTCACACTAAACCATGTCACCCAAGGCTCCTTCCAACCTGGCCTTGAACACCGCCAGGGATGGAACATTCACAGCTTCCCTGGGCAACCCATTCTACTGCCTCACCACCCTAACAGGAAAGAACTTCTTCCTTATATCCAATCTAAATTTCCCCTGTTTAAGTTTGAACCCATTACCCTTTGTCCTATCACCACAGTTCCTAATGAAGAGTCCCTCCCCAGCATCCTTATAGGCTCCCTTTAGATACTGGAAGGCTGCTATGAGGTCTCCACGCAGCCTTCTCTTCTCCAGGCTGAACAGCCCCAACTTTCTCAGCCCGTTTTCATAGGGGAGGTGCTCCAGTCCCCTGGTCATCCTCATGGCCCTTTCTCTGGACTTGTTCCAACAGTTCCATGTCCTTCTTATGTTGAGGACACCAGAACTGCACACAATACTCCAAGTGAGGTCTCACGAGAGTGGAGAAGAGGGGCAGGATCACCTCCTTCGACCTGCTAGTCATGCTCCTTTTGATGCAGCCCAGGATATGGTTGGCTTTCTGGGCTGCGAGCACACACTGCCAGCTCATGTTAATTTTCTTATTGACCAACACCCCCAAGTCCTTCTCTGCAGGGCTGCCATTCTTTCATAGGTGCACATATTAAAAAAAAAAAAAAAGTAATTGTAAAAGGTAGTTTTCATAGACGCAGAACAGGTGTAGTCCTGTTGAGCAAGCACAGAGGTTTCACTGAGCTGGTAGCAAGATACTACTAATTGAATGCATCACCACAAAGACTATTAAGGGTATAGAGCATCTCTCATATGAGAGGAGGCAGAAAGAGCTGGGATTACTCAATCCTGGGCTGGTGAGAAGGGAAGATGGGCAGGAAGAGAATCATATCAATATGTATTGATTTTTAGTGGGAGGGTGTAAAGAGGATGGAGTAAGAATCTTCTCAGGGGTATCCAGTGAAAAGAGGCAGCAGACACAAACTGAAATACAGAAAACTATTTAAATGTGGGGAAATAAAGCTTAAGAGATTTTAGCCCAATTGAACAAGGCCCCAGCAACTCACTCTAGTCTACATTTTTTTAAGCAGTGGATTTGGACTAGATAACCTCAAGAGGTGCCATCCAACCACAACTATTCTATGATTCTGTGACTACATACAGTTTTATCTACTGGATATATTCATATTTTATACAAATTTATTTTAGTCTCAGTACAAGTTCCAAGGAATTTTAGGAGTTTTTCAGTATGCTCAATTCTGCCTGTCAAATGTTACCATTATCTTTACTGTTAAGGTACTCCTTGGACCTTCAAGTAGTACTTTAAAAGTACTAAATGATGCGTTCAGACATATTTCATGCTTCCCAGAAGTCTCATACATTACAAAAACATTAGACATGGAGCATCACTATCAGAAACAGAGTACAATCAGACAATAAATATCTCTATAACACGTGAGGTGTATCATCCTACCAGTAAAAGCCTGTAAAACTCCAGTATAAACAGTAAACAAAAAATTAAGATGTTTACTACATAAAAGTGAACAGTTTACACCACTCCAAAATAGGCAACAGATAATTACCACAGAACTATCCAATGTGTAAACTATGATTCATTGATCTGGACAAGAGACAACTTGGAAAATACAAACTCGTCATATTTCCAGAGTGGCCTGAAGAAGGCAGGAAGTTCCACTGTTCATCATTTTTTAACATGCAAGAGCTAGGCACCATGAAACAAAGCCAGTAGGAGCCAAATTCAAGAGACAGAAAAGAAGGTGATTTTTCACACAACAGATGGTAGATGTGCAGAATGCTCTGCCAAAAAATTGGTTTGGATGCTAAAAATTTACATAGGTTCAAGAGAGTATTTGACAAGGATTTTGAAGAGAAATCCATTACAGCTTACTAAACAGACAAACCTTATCAGCTTCAGGAAGTCCTTCAGCTGACATGCATTGGCAAGAAATGCAAGAGTTAAAAAAAGTGCATATACATTTGCTTTGCTTTTATTCTACCATTCACATCTACTTTGGGCAAGTATCCAAGATAAGATAGTAGGGTAACCAAGGATTCTTGGTCTAAACCAGCACAGCACTGTAGATCCAGTAAAGCAATGCTACCGTTTACCTTGCCAAAATAATACCTGACCTTATCCTACTATTCAAATAACTTGGAAGATACACATAACTTAGTCTTAGCTGCAATCCAATTGCTTGTCATATTTGTAACCCTGGTAAATACCATTGAGCTGTGCTATTAATGACTGCAGTATACATACTTAATTAGGAGGCACAAAAGGAATTTATCATTGTTTGTGCAAAGTGAATGACAATAGAGCAAAAGAAGCATCCATCAGTGTATCAGTTACTAAAAATACATGATTTTCAACTTGGTCTTCTTGCCACAATGGTCCAGTTTTCCAACACAGAGAATGTCAGAAAGCCCCTTTGTTTGAAAGAAAGCAATCTGTCTCCAATTAACTACTATCTACTGTACTGTGTGCAACTCAACTGTTACTGTAACTCATTGCCATGAAAGAGGTCCCAAAAAGGGAAGGAGAGAAACACACAGGAAAGGAGCAATATTCCATAGTCCATCTAAGATCTTAATGATCATTTGGACAAGATATAATAGAACAGATGTAGTACAGTTAAAGCAAATGACATTAAAATGACAAAAAATGACAAAAAAAAATAAAATCAGGCACATCCCAAATGAAAACTAGACAATAGAAAATTTTCTGTCTGTTGGAGTAAAAAAGTTATTCTGCTGCTGCAATTGTCAACTAGGCATTCTAAAAGAGGACAATTAGGGAAGTGTCAACAGCTGCCAGATATTATTATGGTATTAAATGCGCCAGAGTTTTCAAAGAATTATCATAAAACTGACTTGAATTCACCTCTACATTAGTTGACTATAGAGGTTGCTTCATTAAGAGAATGCTACAAGGAATAATGCAAGTCATGAAAACAGTAATGCTCAAAAATTTGAAATACTCAGTATAACATCAGCAAATAACTTCCCATGGAATATAAATATTTCTGGATTTTAGACTTGTGAATAAACCAAAACCTCCATTTGCTGTTAGAGCCACTAAAGATCTTTGTGCTTTTGCAGATGGAAAGCTTCCTAGTGATTCTGGCTAGTGGATTTGGACACTGTGTTTCAGTACTGTTTCTACAGATATCTGTCACAACTTTGATAGGGTATCCTTGGAAATGAACCACTTGGATGTAACAAGAAAAATAAACATCCACCTATTTTGTTCTCTTCACTGCTTCTCCAGTACTGATTACACTTTCCTCATTAAGCCCCAAAATATTTACAGTCTTTCACTGGGTGAAGGTGAAGAAGAGTGGAGTTCAAACCAATCCTGTGCTTTTGTCTGGACACCAAGGATGAAATGCTGTCTTGAATATGTTCCTGTGCATCAGGGACTGCTGGGGTGGAGAGGGAAAGATTTTGATTTTGCTTAAGTATTTGAAGAAATTCCTTTTGATTGACACATTTTGGTTTACAAAAGCAGGGAGAACATCCCCTGTACCAGAGAGAGCCCCAAGGAACACAAGTTCTTTCCATATGGAAAGTCATACCGTACTGGCTAAGAATATTGTACAGCAACCTGGCTGTCAACACTGAAGGTCAGATTTAAAAAAAAAAAAAGAAGTCTAGGAGACCCAAAATAGAAAAGAAATAATTGAGTGCATATTTTTAAAAAATACCTCTCACATCTATCATCCCACAGTAAGTCTGACTTTTTCACAGTTACTTAGAAAAACTTTAACTAGGTTCTATCACATGCATTAAAGTAAACCAACCTCAATTCTACCCATTCCATATTAAAACTGACATTCAGCAATCCATATGAATCCTAATGCCAGGTCTCATTCTCAGGTATATTCTCTCAGTCTGGCTATATTTCTTTAAGAACATTAAGCATTTTCTTCAATTTTTCTGACCCCTCCTTTCTTTCTCTGTACACTATTTCTTCAGTGTCTATGAACAGCCTTCCCTTTTCTCTGTGTCTCTAGCTAACATGCATTGTGGTCTGTAGCTGTAATATGCTGTCATGAGAAACTGAAAAACACTTTGCTTTTAAAAATACTAAAACGTTTAGACATATATTTCAGCTCATCTTTAACTTACAGTATTTTGGGTGGTAAAGGGAGAACCTACCTTTGGTTTCTATTATAACATTCAATATACCACCTAAATTATTAAAATCAAACACTTTTTTCTTCTCCCATTCTAACTTGAAGCGGGTCTTAAAACTATATATTTTCTAAAAATCCATTTCAATATCGCTGAGAAGATAGTTTTTCTTTTTATTCCTAGATGCAATTTGCTGATCATTTTTGTTTACTGCAAGACTAAAGTTTAACATCACTATTGTTATAAAAACCTTCAGCTGGTAGTCTACCTACATCAGTAAAATTCTATGGTCTCTAAGGAAAAGGAAAATCATGCGGACAGTCGTGTTTACCTCAAGCTCACAACTTAACAGCTTCATAGATAACACTGCTTTTAACTCTCAGATTGGAAAAAGGGGCCAAAGCTTCTGCATTAGATTGTGAAATCCAGTATCCGTACTATCATCTTCACCTCTCCCTAAACCTCTTTTCCCTCCAATCAGTGAGCAAAGATACTTAAGATACTCTGAAGATTGTACATTTTAAGACCACTTACAGGAAGGTAAATAGTATTTAATATATTTTTCTGCCTTCGCTTAAATGGCTATGTCACCAGTTGGCTGATGATGAGCTTTGGTTCCATCAACCCCCTGACAAAACTAATCTTTTACCTTCTGTTCCAATGCAAGCCGGTACTTCTGTTCTACCCTTTTGCATTTGTTGTACCAACTGTTTTCATCTGTGATGAAAGGAGGACCAATGTTTTCTGGCGTACTGCCTTCACTGCCACTACTGCCCAGCGTTCTTAGCTCTTCTTCATCACTGCTGATGCTGTCAGAACTGAAAGATCATATTAATTAGCCAAGTGAAAAGCTGTGTTTGTTAAAATGCAAACCCCCCCTTGAAATTTGAAGCACCACAGTTACTAAATACATCTAAAGCTCTGTAAGTCAAAAAGAAACAAAATATTGGGATAGGATAGATCACTAAACACAAGTTGTATTTCAAGCTTTTATTTGTATAGGCACCTAAAGAATGGGCAAAATTTGCCCAAGACCTTAGTTAAGTTGTCTTAGGCAAGTCAGACAACTGCATGTAGTATACCCTCCTGGAATACAAAGGGCCAGTGCATTCCAATATGCTGTCTAAGTGGTGACTTGGATCTTCCCATCATAAATTCAGAGTAATATAGCATTATCTGAATCTAGATGTTATTTGTTTCCAAAAAAGCATAAAAATAAAAAGTGATTGTTGTTTACGTTAAATTATGATGAATTTAAATGAAAACGTATAGTTGTGGTTATAGTGAAGACCATGTGCCTGTTATTTCACAGAACATGAGCATCTCTCCATACAGTATGCAAATTCACTGTGAAAATATCTGCATATCATCCAGAATCAATCTATGCCAGAAAATTCAGACATCTGTCTCAAATACAAGAATTGTAATTTAGCCCAATACCCATTTTAAATCTCTCCTTACAACTATGCTTTCCACTGCATTAACAGCATTTACTAGTTTTTAAAGTAGTGATTCATACAACTCTATGATCCTGCCATGATGCAAATTCTGCTTTAACTGAATCATGCAATTTGTCATTAACATGTAATCTATTAAGAACTTCAAGAAAATAATTAGGATGTTTCATGTTCAGTTGTACATCTTCAAGATTACTTCTCACTCCCAACTGCTTCCTCCATTTTGGCAAAACTAGCAATAGAACACATCCCATTAATTTCCATGCTTTTTAGAGATACCAAATTGCTCTCTGATCTGTTAGATAATGATCACGTCTTTAATTTTTAATCATATAACGGATCACAGGAGCAAAATGTAGCTGGAAGGTCAGATTATATATGCAATTGGACATGATTTCTATTATGTGCTAACTGCTCATACTGCTTATCTGTCATACCTTACCATTTACGAGGACACATATAGCTTTTATTTACAAGACAGCTACCTTCAAGTTTATGGCTACACAGAAAAGGACCAAGAGAAAGGACAACTTGGTCTGGAGATCTGCAAAGGAAATTAAAAAAATTTGTTTCCTTGCGAACTGTGATCATAATCCAAGTAAACAAAGTTAGCATGACTCACTGTGATGAGTCATGTAATAATTCTACCAGTCTGAAAGAGCCAGGCAGCTGAGTGCACAGGTTTGTATTTAGAGATGGATATTATTTTGAATGTGAAATGAAAAGTATGGGGCCCAGTATGAAGGATAAATTGTTAATAAAATAAGATTAAAAAGTGCAAAGATAAAAAGTACCTTTGGGTGAACTTCAAATATGGTGTATAATCTATGACAGCTGGAAAGCTGCCATCCAGTCCCTCACCCTTCAGGCAAAAACTGATAAAACAGAGAAACAACAGTAAGATTATAACAAGAAAATTATAACAGTGACAGTTGAATCTTATCAACGTGAAATTTTTCTTAATTTTTTGGTAATAAGAAAGGCCTAGAGCATTTAATACTGAAATCCTACTCAGCCGAGCTAGACTATTTAATATTTAATGAGAGTCACTGAGCATATTATAGCATAATGAAACCCCCAACAAACAGTAATTCCACATGATCGGGGAATAGATCAGGGCAAGTGGTAATTTTTAATTTTTCACTTCTATTCTGAAACTACGGATGGATTGAAGGGAATAACAGGAAAAAGAAAGCTAGCCAGAGCAAGAGAAAGAGAAGAGCTATGGATGAGAATGGAATCTTCGGCATTTAAGCTCATTTAAAGAGTTTGCAGAGTCTTTACATAACCATCCTACTAACTTTAAGTCAAAAACCAGTTCTCAAAAATATTTCACGGTTTTTCTCCTCTCAGATACTTTCTGGTGTGGGGCTGCAGGAAGATGAGGGACATTAATGAATCTTACTTTCAGAAAGATGTTCTGAAATGGCTGTAGCTTTACAAAGCTCTCATCTACCCTGTATTCTTTTTCTACTTGATATAAAAGATTGTATGGGAACCATGTTTAATTATCACAGAAGTGGCAAAATCAATCATGCTTCCATAAGGCTCATATTCCTCACTCTTTCCGTATGTCATTGAAAACCCAATTCTAGTAAGACATGGTTTTTGCTACTTTTCCTAACTTAATTGCAAAGTGCCAGTTTTTGCAATGCAGTCACTTAAGTAGTATTTGGAAAGTACATATGCAGGGTTGGGTTTTGTTTTTTTTTTTCCCCTTAAGAATAGAAAAGCAAAGAAAACAAGAAAAAACACCTCTGCAAAACCACAATTAGTTTAAGCAGATACACAATAAAAATGCTTCTGTAGCACTATATTCCTATTTTGGCCAGAAATTTTCTAGGCTCTTATATGTGGCATTGACAAAAACTTAAATGTCTCCAGAAGAATGTATAAATATGCTTATATTAGAAATCAGAGAACAAAGGAAGAATAAGCACACTCATACAACTAAGCTCTCATACTGGTAGTATGTACCACTGAGGCTTGTGGGAGACAAACACTATCAACTGATGGTTATTTATGGAAGGACTTACATACTCCAGACTTACTCTTGCTATGCTTCTTACTTATGTATAGCCATATTTCTTCCAAGTATAGTAGTAACAGAGAAGTAGTTTAATTTCACATAGAGTAAAGCTTAAACTAATAAAAAAATCTGGTAAGAGCTGAATTTGCTGTATACAAGGCTAACTCTCTTATCATCCAGCAACATCAATCAGTTCCCTCAGAACATAGCTGATGATGTTATTAAGCCAATCTAGTGACTAAATGCTGGCAAAAGAAGTTATCCTTTGCTTTCAACCTCTTCCTCCACATTTTTCCTTTTACTTTTTTTTTGGGGGGGGTGGTAATTTTTATTTTTCTTAATTAAATCCCAACCAGACATTCCCTTTCCCCTTCTTACAGTGGTATTGGCACTTATCCAACTCCATGATGAGCTAGCTCAGCCATCATGACCTGAATTTTTAGCATTTTTATTCCCCATTAGCATCCAGTTGCAGTTCCACAGGCAACTAAAATCAATGCTCACTGCCACTGGAAAGGTAAGACATTACTTAATCACTTTTATTCCTTTTCTTCTCTAATCCTTACGATCATATCATATCTGCCACTTATAGGATGTTTCCATGAGCCAAACTAGCTAATAGCAAAAGAACTATCCTGTCTTCTTATTGAGTATGGGTTTTTTACTCTTTAACAAGTTAAATTGACTCACAGAAGGGTCCAACAAGCCTCAAAACTGGTATAAGGGTACATAAGCAAATCTCTAAAGGTCTTTTGTCAGCACTCAGTGCATCCAGTGAGACTGTGCTGTTTTCTTTCTGACAGTTTATCTCCTAAACTGGTTTGTGACAAGCATTAATGCTGCTGCAGTGTAAATTTTAACAGCATATTGTCAGGAGACTGGAGGAAAGCATTATCATTCTCCTTTTTCCTATGCTGTATTACAAAACCCTTCCCCATTTTATGAGGTTAGCTTGACCCAGTCAGGCATATTAACAGGGCCTGGGGCCATCTTCTCATAGGCATTGTAGACTTTATACCTTGCTGATGGTTTTGCTATATATATTATAATGTGTGTGTGTACATAGAATCATAGAATCGTTAGGGTTGGAAAGGACCTTCAGATCATCCAGTTGCAACCCCCTTGCCATGGGCAGGGACACCTTACGCTAAATCGTATCACCCAAGGCCTCGTCCAACCTGGCCTTGAACCCTGCCAGGGATGGAGCATTCACAACCTCCCTGGGCAACCCATTCCACTGCCACACCACCCTATACACACACACACACCCCAAAGTGTTGTGTTTTTTTTTTTTAATTATCTAGGGTGTGTATCTTCATTAGCCCAAAACACAGAATTAATTGTATAATAAAGCACACAAAAGTCTAGCTAAAGACTGCACAGGTAAATTCATGTAATCTTACAATATTTTGCAGTTAATTAAAACACATTTTAATATTAAATGGTCATTTGTAGGTTAAGCTTTTAAAATGTAGAAGTACTAAAGTTAAAGATACCTATACCTTCTACATACTCAGTTACAATGCTGTCATTGAGTACTAGGGCATAACTGTGTACTTAATCCTTTAAAAGATTCAATTGTCTGTAAACTTCACTTAATAGGTTTAACTTATTTTCTGCAATTACTCTTCAGATTGCTTTTAGAATTTTGATACCTGAAAGACTGTGTAATCATGCAGCTATATAAACTATGGTATGGTTTTGTTCTTATCTAGAAGAGCCATTCAAGATTCTTTTCTCTATCCCTCCCTCTTCTCCCCCCACCTAATTTTTGCCCATCAAAAGAGTTAGAGTTAGGAACTCTAACATTGTTTTTCATAATGCATCCACTCTTGATTTCAAAAAAGAAAAAGTACTTTCCCTGAGCATTATATTATGAAGCATGCAAATATAATACCTAAAATCAATTGCATTGAGTCCCAACAGCATGCCAGCAAGCATATTTGCTTCTTCACCAAGAACAATTGCTCCATCCTCATAAAATCTCCTTCAATAAAAAAAGAAATTAGTTCAGTATTATTTGAGAGAAAATGATATTAACTATTTTTCATAGTTAATAGAAAAATGAAGAAATACAGTTTAAGTAAAAAAACCTCATGTGAACCCCGGGGGGGGGGCTGATATTTCATTTCAAATAAAGCAAAACAATAAATCACACAGCACAAAGCACCACAATCTTAGAGCACATAAAAATTTAGGTAGAAGCAAAACCAATTCATAATATTAGCCCTAAGAAATGGATGAAACGCAAAGGAAGTGATGAAGATACACTTTAATCCTGAAAGGCAGAATGTGTGTCATCTCTATAAAAAAAAAAATCCATTATATAAGAAAAAAAATTCTCACAATTGCACTTGCAGACTCTTTAAATGTTCAAAAATCATTCTTCGTTCTCAGAAAATATTTTCAAAAATCAGCTATTCTCCAGGTAGCACGCTTTTTATACTGCATGCTCGGGTTATTCATGCTGTATCCAGTTATTCTGAGATTTAAAATTTTCATTATTTGAAGGAGGAGTGTTTCTTAGCACCATTTTTTGTTGCAAAACACCTACTGGCCAAAGTTTTAGAACTCCATGCCTTGATCTCAAAATACATTTCACATACCCTGGTACAGGCAGACTTCTGAAGGCTGGCTGAGAACAGTGACCAATAAAGAAACCATTTTTAAATCTGTACCCCCTCACTACCTCCTCATTCTCTCCCATTTATTCTCATTTTCTCCTCCTAGCTACCACAGAAGCTACTTCCAGACATAGCTGTTCCATGCACAGAACATATGGGAATAGGACACACCACTGCCATGCAGAGACTCGTAAAAAGGCATTTGGTCTGTTTAGCAAAGTAGCACACAACTGTAATTTCTGTGTTAAAGGAGTCCTGGCAGCAGCAGAGGCAGAAAGGTCACCTGAGCATCACATGTGGAAAGAGGGAAATGAAGAGCTGTTCAGTACCAACTGCAAGGTTGAAAGGTCACTTACCAGAAACCAAGATCCACATTCCACCTATACATTCTAGCCATGTATGATTGCAAGAAGGTGCCAGATTATTGAAGGCAATCCATCTTTCAAATACCAGCAGCAATGCCCTACCAAAAGCTCCATCTGTTTTAAGAACTACATGTAAGCACTGGGATGTCTCAGTAAGAGCCTGAGTTGCCTGCATGGCAAACATCCAGAGAAGCCACATTTTGGGGCACAGTTCCAAAGACTGAACTGTGTTATAATGCACACCATCAGAAGTCCCACTTTTGCAGTTTCATAACAGACATCCATTTGCTGTAAGGAAATGAGTTGTCCAAGACCTTGGATGTTCTCAGTAGAAGCAAGAAATCTGGACGACTTCCTCTGGGAAGACAGAGATTATAGTCTTGACATAGAGACTATGATGTACAGACTCAACTCTCTACTCTTGAAGTTCAAGAATGGCACTAGGAAGTTAAACTGGCTAAGACAGAATACTGAGCTAGATGGACTTTACAATCTGATTCAGTACAGTTACTCTTATTTGTGAACTAAGAGCAATGCTCCCAGCACAAGCTGATTGCCACCTGTTTCACTGGCATTTGTTAAATTACTGCTAGGTACCAATCTGTACAGTGTTCAGTTTATCTTGTAAAATGATGCCAAGGAAGTAATCACACAAAAAAGACGGGACATTATTTGTAACAGTGAGATGCAGATGTGTTAGCCTGACAATGGTAATGTTTCTTAAACCAGCTTCAGTAATCTAGCCAAAGCAACTCACAAATTTTCTCTCAGGGCTATGCAGCTGACATCTTACAACAGATGTCTCTTTAAGTTAACTCTTAACTCTTTAAGTTAAGAGTCTGTGCTGAGCAATTTTTTAGAAAAATAATTGTGTGCCCATGCGTAACCCAACTCCTGTCTCAGTGTAATATGCAGATCCAGCACTAATAACGTGCTGCTTTATTAAAGGACTAGCCGTAAGATCAGGCACCTAATCACAACAGTGAGGTTTAAAAAGGGCTAGCAGTATGATAGATCAATCTCGTAGTCTACATATACACATGTATAACATGATATTTAGAGTTTATATAATTATTAAAACGACATATATCAAAATACATAATTTAAAATTCTACATAAATGGTGCAAAGTATCACCAAAAGAATCCAGCCACTTATTAGGCATCCAAAATCCCACAGAAGAAAAAGACAGTGCGTCCATTATTGCTAGTAGATTTGAAATCCACCATACCAAGATCTGAAACTGGAACTTCTATTTCCATTAAATGTATTTAAAATATTACTTCAAAACAAACTTTGCACTTACTATGTTTGCAATGCAAGAGGGGTTGTTTCCAAAAACTATACCACTGAAAGAACATTCAAATATATTAAACATCAACATGTTCAAATAAATTAACTTGAAACTGCTAATAAATTAATACCACTGTTATCCACTAGAAAACAAACCACACTACCAAACATGGACAAAGAATGTACTACTTAACTACACAAGTCTGTGACCCTCCTCTTCCTCCTCATCTCCCCCTCAAAAACCCAAGTGACTTCTCAGTTTGAGGCAACATGAGTAAATCTTTTCCAGAAATCTTTGGTTTATGAGCTTCTTGTCTACTGTAAATGCAAACAAATCTGGGTAAAATAAAGATTATAGGTCTGGAAACGTCAATAAAATGTGATGTTTCCCTAGTTGTGCTTCAAAGTCACCTTAATATTGGCAACATATATGGAGATCTGTGCACAAACAGTCTTAGAAACAATATTCTAAATGAACTGAAGTCCTTGCAGAGAAAACTCTTACTGTTCAAAAAGCCCATTCAGTAGATAAAACTTTTAAGAGGTCAACATCAGGTACCATGTTACAAACTCACTCATATTTAGATGACTTCATCATAAATCTACAAGATACAGTTGTTGCAGGATACAGCATCCTATAACAATCGCATTATTTAGAACCAGTCCAAAACTGGCAGACTATTTTCTATCATAACACATATTCTTGTACGTAACAGATTTTACCCTTAGAAGGTAAAAATAAATAAATAAAATGTTACAGAAATTTCGTATTACAATACATATCCCCATGCTATGCCTGATCATTAATTCTGTTCTATGTCTCTCAACAGGTTCATGGAATTATTTTCCTTTCTTCTTCAAGAAATGTTCCTATAAAAATTATTTTTTACTGAATCTCTAGGACTTTCTGTCAACCATACCTAATTCTGAAAGGAACATTACATTTTCCTATCTTTATCACACTGCAATTTCAGAATTAGACATTTCCTTCTCTTTTGGCCTTTCAAGAATTCCAGACTTATTTCCACATTTTTAAAATCACAAAGAATTTTAATTTTGCAGTTTTACCCATGCTAACATCCAGTCAGTTCACACCAACTCTAGATATCTTTTACAGTGTTACAGCTCCTTTACTAGTGACATCCTTTCCTATACAAATCAAGTGTAACATGCACTTCTAAACCCAATACAACTTACGAAACATTTGCTAAAATACTGCAAAAATAGGAGTCTTAGAGACCTGGTTGTTTTGAAGTCTCTCAGAGCTGTGGAAATGTATTCAGACAAATGCTTTTCCATAAGTGCTACTCTGATCCAGGCTCGACCCTGCAAGAAGAAACAGACATCAAATACCTAAATATTACAGAATGAAACGATTTTCCATGTGAAAATGAATACAGTTGATTTATCTGGGTGAAATGAACTTGTTAACAAAATCACCACTAAACAGAAATAGTTGCTAAGATCTAATTCATTACAGTGATAATGAAAAGAAAAAAGTATTCTTACAAATCAACTTCATTATAAAATAAAGTTATCAACAATTTAAAGGTGGAGGAAGGGTATTGCTTTAATTATATAATCCAGCCTTTTTAATGTCTCATGTGCATAAGTGGTAGGAACAGTAACACATCATGGCAAAAAGCTTTCCATTTTAAAGACAATGCTATTGGAAGTAACCAAACTGTTTCCAATATAAAGCATCAGTAACTTACCCTCAAGGTGTTTTAAGAAAAAAATAATTCTCTCTGCTCATTCAACTATTTGTGGGATCAATAAAAAAATAAATTACTTTTTCCCCCCTCAGTAAGGGCATCATTACAGAAGCTGTATATGATATACAGGAATTAACTCTAATCTAAGGGGCCAAAAACAGTTCTATGAACAACTGCAATAGCTTCAAAGATAACCTTTAGGAATGTGTGTTGCACTGTATTTAGAGGTCTAGTGCACAGGATTGTAGTTTACAGGAAAAAGACATTTCAAGTGGCTGCCATAATTATGATTGTCACTTTAAGAGCACCAGGAACATTTATTGCAACCCACATCAACTTAAAAATAGTTAAGTAATAAGATGTCTTTGTGCTTAATACATTTGGCCCTTACTGACATCTAGCCGAGTATCGCTACAGACATGGTACTAAAGCCACCTGTAGTAGATTATAATCCTACATCAAATTTATATAGACCTAAATCAAACTTATGATGAGATAGAAGTAAATAACAAAAACAAAAATCACTTTCATAAATACCCACAACACAGCAAAAACTTTAACATAGAGTACATCAAAATTAAAAGGAAGTTTATCTGGACAGCTGCCTTTACATTGCAGTTATTTAGAACATAGAATCATAGAATGACTTGGGCTGGAAGGGACCTTAAAGATCATTTGGTTCCAACCCTGCTGCCATGAGCAGAGACACCTTCCACTAGACCAGGCTGCTCAAAGCCCCATCCAACCTGGCCTTGAACACACCAGGGATGGAACAGTCACAACTTCCCTGGACAACCTCTGCCAGTGCCTCACCATCCTCAGAGTAAAGAATTCCTTCCTAATGCCCAACCTAAATCTACCTTCTGTCAGTTTAAAGCCCTTCCCCCTTGTCCTATCAATACATGCCCTTCAGAGAAGTCCATCTCCAGATTTCTAGCAGGCTTTTTTAGGTAGTGGGAAGCTGCTGTAAGTTTCCCCTGAGCCTTTTCTTTTCCTTGTTGAACAAACCCAACAATCTCAAGCCTGTTTTCATAAAAGAGGTGCTCCAGCCCTCTGATCATCTTCACAGCCCTTCTCTTGAGTTGCTAAAGCAGGTTCATGTCCCTCTTGTGTTGGAGGCCCCAAAGCTGAATGCAGTACTGCCGGTGGGGTCTCACGAGAGCGGAGTAGAGAGGGAGAATCACCTCCCTTGGCATTTGACATGCTTCTTCTGATGCAGCCCAGGGACACGGTTGGCTATCTGGGCTGCAAGTGCACACCGCCAGGTTATGCTGAGCTTCTCAGCCAACACCCCCAAGTCCTTCTCATGGATGCGCTCAGTCTATTCTCCCCCCAGCTTCTATTTGTGCTTGGGATTACTTCGACCCAGGGGCAGGACCTTGCAGCTGGCCCTGTTGAACCTCATGAGGTTTGCACAAACTCATGTTGCATGAACACGAGTAAAATAGTCAAACCCTGATGATTCTGTTTTGCTAATGACTAAAGACTATGTAGCTCCAGTGAAAGCATGGCTATGGTAGCACTGGCAAAGCCTTACTAACAGCTCCAGTTTGGACCACCAGTAAAACTGATGCATACCATTGGTATTTGTGTTGACATGTCTCCAACCTTTTCAGATACAGACAAAATACTTCTGCACACACCTCCAAAAATTAAACACTGTTCTCCACACTGCACGAATTACCTTCTTTGTTTACTATTTGGCATGGCCTTATCCACAAAGTAGAAGAAAACTCTGAATTTATTTTTAGGAGTATTTTAGAAAATAGCTTTACATTTTATTATCTGCTGAATTTAAGTACTCATCTCTATTAAAATCTTGGAATTCAGAAATATCATTAAAATAAATCTTGAATATAATCAACATAATCATCACATGCTAGAACATAAGTCTCTCCAGAAAGTATTTGAAAATAAATTCTCCAAATTATCTGAATTTTCAGATCTCAACATAAGCAAGAAAAGTTGCATGACTTAAATTATCAGTCTAATACTCCAGTACATTGCGTGATAGGACAAGCATGTAATATTCCGGATAGGAAAACCAGTCAATAAAATATAATAATAACCAGTCAATAGGAAAACCAGCTTTTTTTGCCACAGAATCTCAAGTGTTTGAAAGCTTTTATGCAGATTACATATACATTTACTATATAAAATGTAAAACTGAGTCTATGCAAAAGAAAAAAGGAGCAATAGCAGACATTGCAAACAGGCTGTTCTGCAATACTATGGATCATTAGAACAGCTGTTCAAAGATCTACGAGATTCATGGTGCTGCTTGATCTAAGCATCATCTTTTAATGAAGAAAAATATGGTTATGTAAATACTTGTAATTTAAATTGTACAGTCATGTCCCTGAAAGAAAAACCCAACAACCTACAAATTATTTGTTTATAACAAGTTAAATATTTCCACCTCACCAATGACACCAACTCTTAATAATCCAGAGTATAATAAACCTGGAAGATTTTTAAAACATACATAGAACACAGTTTGCATACTTCTTCAAACAACTGATTCCAGTTCATTTAGGAGTAACAAGAATTAAGAACACTAATTTATGCATCCTTTTATGTTACTTATGCTTTCAAGTCTGAAGGTTCTCAGTTATCAGTCAAGGCTTCTTCACACAGAAATACAAGCTACTGAAAAGTATTCCAATCTAGTAAAAAGAACTCATAATCTCTTTCTAATAGTACTTTTTTTTAATTTTTTTTTTTAGATGTTTGTGTATGCTGTCTTGCACCATTAAGATTTAATGATACATCAATTTAAAGCTCATTCCTATTCAGTTCATATGCATGTAAATACATTAAATTGTTACTTCCTTAATGTTTCCATCATACTGACAATCAGAAATTATGATTTCATTTCTATATACATCCTTTAAAATCTTTATTAGCAAATAAATCTATGAAAGGCTTCCTGCACAATGACACCAGCAAACTCAAGGGTTCATAACACCTTTTTTATTAATGCATGAATTATATACAAAATAAAATTACACTTAGGTTGGGGGGAGGAGGGGAAATCACAGTTCTACAATTTTAAAATAGTATTTGCAAGGCATTTCCACACATACATAATTTCCCTCAACATACTGCATTTTTAAAAAACTATGTAAGCTCAAAAATGCGAAGGCAATTCAGATTTAAATTTTTTTTAAGTAATTATTTACTAGGTACATATAAAAATAATTATTTCAAACAATGAAAAATTTTGTGGGGCAAGGTTGGTAATGTTTTTCTTCTGGGTACAGAAATGTCAGCTATACTTTACACAGAACAATGTAACAAAAAAAAGTCAATTTGACCTTTCTCTTCCCTACCTTAGCTCTAGAAGAACCGACATTCTCCATGTTCTCAATACTGCAGATGCAATTGTGAGAGACTTTTCGGCAAGCTACTCGAATGTAGTCCCAGAAACTACGAGGACTTTCATAGCCGAACCAGGTGATCTGACCTTAAATCAAAATACAAGATATGTAAAGATTGATGAACTTCCCTCTCTGCTTACTGGAGATAAAAATAATTCAAATACTTCCCTATAGGTTGCCTGCACCAACAGGATTTCATACTACCAAGTCCATAAATTCCTACTGAAAACTGGCTTGCAGGTGTAAAAAATACTTGCATTATGCAGCTCACCCTGGTTTCAGACCGATGCAGATAAAGAAGGTTGGAGCTTTTGTGTATTTTGTTGTTTTCTTCCTTGTTAGTATGCTATAATAATACTCAAGAGTCCTTCATGGACTTGTTACATCATAACAGGGTACACTGTCTTCCAACTTAAAAAGGAGATAAAATAAGTATTTCTGTTATTTGTTTTAGGTAGAAGCATGTATTTCATTAATACAATCAAGTAAAGAGAGTTTTGTTCTTTAAAAAATGTTTTTATATATATACACCACTGTTTGCTGTGATACTGTTATCTCCTTTTAGAAAGGGATTAGAATTTTTCAAAATGTGCTTTCATTGAAAGGGAAGCTGATGCATGATCAAAAATGTTTCGCAGTTACAATTTATTTGGAATACACACAGAAGAACATTCCTTGGGAAACTGACCAAAATAAATTGAGCAAATCAATGTATCTTCTGGAGCTTTAACCAAAATCCGTTTTTTGGGTTGTGCTTTTGTTTCCTTCCAGTTTGCAATGTATTGCAGCTAGGAAATGAAAGGGGAAATTACATACTACCTGCAACCTTCACATACAAAAGGAATTTAACCACAGACCTAACAGTTCAGCCCCATTTTTCAGCCTGAACAGCATATAACTTTGAACAGGTATGTAAAAATTAAGACGAGCGTTGCCCTCTGGTGACTCCTATTATTATGCATGTGCAAACCTTTTCTCTGTATAAAATGAAATCTAATTTTTAAGTTAATTTTATTTTAAGTCTTGAGTTGTACTTGGAAGTTTTACTAGTTTATCAGAAAGGCTTCTAATTCTTTTGCTGTTAGAAAGCTCAGATTTCAAGAAAAAAATATATTAGATTCACACTGCAAATTATGCATACTAAAAATAAAAATGCCAACACATGATGACAAGAATATTTTTATCTAGCATGACTTATCTTCGTTTCAAACATAATTAGTGTCAAAGATCTGTCCCATATGATCTTAAGACATTCAAGTGGTGGGGTTTTTTTCCCCTAGAGGGTGCCAAGTAACTTGACTTTGTGGTCCATCTGCTAACTTTGTCACATGGATTTGTTTACTACATTCAAAGTTTGAGAGAAGACTTGTAAAAAAGTATCAGGAATAATTAATATATACTACTCAATATACCAAATGTAAAACAAAATCCCAGCATGCTTCAATTACAGTAGATTCAGATCTTCTCAATTCTAAGGCGTAAAATAAAAATTTCTGCAAGGTAAGCAGTATAGCAAACTACTTTTGTTGTAATGCCAAGCACAGCAGACAACAAAAATTCAGTGGCATTTTAACACTAAAAGTTACGGATTTTTTCACATTCTTTGCCGTATTAGAAACATTTCTACCCTAGGGATTATACCTGCAAAATTAAATGCAATTTAAGCATGAAGATGACTTGGTGTCACCAATTCCAGTTCAAGCATATAATGGCAAATAAATGCAAGCATACCATATAACAACTTCTGTGTTTTTTTCTAACTATCTTAAGGACAGAGTATATGTAAGAAAAGGACAGTTTCACTCTATAGTTTTCAGAAGTCACTAATTCAAAGCTATTATTTTCACAAATAAACACTTGAAAACCACAACATTTATATAAAAAATATCTTTATAACAGAAATACATACCAGCACACACAGGATTTATTTGCCTTACACTGATGAAAGTAGTAAGCTGGCCATAATCGCAACATACTGATACAATAGCTCTGTGAGAGGGCATGATGGGTTTCAGACTTCAGTAGAAATTGTCTTCACCTGAAACTCAAGCCAGCTCAGGACCTTTTGTGAACCAAGAGCATCCGGATCTCACCGTTTTCTCCCTACAACCTTAAACCTTGCCCACACTTTGGTAATTAATGCCATTTGAAGAAAACCTTCCTTAATCATTCCATACACAGAAAGATGTTGGCAAAGACTGAGAATAGTGTGAATATATTTTAAGAACTACTACATAAGACAGCTTATATTATATATAAGGTATTATAATAGGTATATTATATATTATAATCAGTAGATTCACTACAATTTTAAAAAGCTTTCAACATATGAAATTCTATTTGGCCCTCGATGCACATAGCCATGAGAACTCTCAAGAATGAGGAATCAAACAGCCCCCACTACTCAGCATTTGTCAGGCTGCGGCAGGAGTGCTGGGTCCAGTTCTGGTCCCCACAATTCAAAGACATGGACATACTGAAGAGGTTCCAAAGGAGGAGCACAAAGATGTTCAAAGGGCTGGAGAACCTGCCCCAAGAGGAAAGACTGAAGGCGCTAGGTCTTTTCTCCCCAGGGAACAGAAGGCTTGGAGGGGAACTCATCACAGTATTCCAGTACTTGAAGGGCTGCTACAAAGAGGATGAAGGCTGTTTCTTTACAAGGAGCCACATGGAGAAAACAAAGGGCAATGGGTAGGTAGAACTTGCACCGGGAGAGGTTTCATCTCAACATAAGAAAATTTTTTACAGGAAGAAAAATTTTTCCCTGGAACAACCTTCCCAGGAATGTAGTAGTCACTGTCGCTGGAGATTTTCAAGATGCAACTGGACAGGGTGCCAGATCATCTCATCTAGGCTTCTTTCCCCACAGATGGTTAGACCATATGATCTCTTGAGGTGACTTACAACCTGGGCTGTTCTGTGATTTCAAATTCATATATAAATTTTAACGGGAATAAGTTTCCTGGGAGGCCCAAAGAACAGAGCATGTGGTCTTCACCATGAAGTTTATATGTCATCAAAAGACACACAAGCTAACAGCTATTCTAACAGTAAAGATGTTACTGGTTTTGTCAGCCAAACAAAATTGCCACGTAAACATGGAAGCTGCATGTCTAATATTAAACATTGTTCAAATTAATTCAATTCTTGTTTACAGAACTGCAAAGCAAATAGAAACAATATTGTGAAAATTCTTTATTTCACCACATTTTTGAATACTGCTACATACCTATTTGTATCAGGTCATTTCTGCTCCAGTCTGACTACCAGATATAAACATCCGCAATGCCAGCTGTTGTGGACCTTTTCTTACACCCAAGAAGCTCTTTACATACAAGACATTAAACAGTTCGATTACTACTCACAGTCCAATTTCACATCTACAAAGTTTTACAGTTGCGAAGTAGTAATGAGTAGGATGCTTTAAATTCGACGCAGGTTTTCTCCAGGCTTCCCTGTATTATTTAGTTCACAGCAAATTCTTCTATTCCACTAAAAAAAAAAAGTTTTAACACAACTGGATGGTAATGAACTGGCCTGCTACTCCTTTGAGGAATTTCTGTGATAACTTTTCTTTTCTTTTACAGAGTAGGTCATTAAAAATAAAAATTTACAGTAGTTCATAAACTCAGACCTCCAAGACAATTATAAATGCATTTAAGATTCTTCTCCATACAGAAGAGCATGAGCTAAACCACAAATTACATAAGAGCCCTACTATTTCCTTTTAGCCAAAACCAAGTAATATGTGTATATAATTATTAAATCTAGTAACAAAAGCTATTCTACTGATAGAACCAAATAAAGGGCCATCACAGCTATATGCTTAGACTCTTTTTTCATGACCATAGTGCCTTCAGCTCTTATACCCTTAGCCTTACCTTTTTTACCCCCACTGTATCACCATTACCTTAACTATTTTATCCAGCAGATTTGTTTCTCTCATGATGAGCAGCATTACAAGCTGCACCTTACACAAAGAACTTGCTTCTTCACCTGTGGCCTAAATCTACAAGCAGACATAATTGATACCCCCTCCCTTTGGCACTTCCTTTCAGGCACTGTTTATGCCTAAATTATCAGAATTGCTTAAAGAGACTCCATGAAATAGTAGGCAGTAGTAATTGCCTTTTTTTTTTTCCCTCCTAAAAATAAATAAACTAAAAACCATATGGGAAGAGATAAATAGCACACTGCAGATACAAGAAAAGTCTTTCATTGCTTGAGAAATGAATTACTTAATAATTCAGTTTACTATGAAGAAGTGCAAAAACTGGACATTTACCAATGACATCACTAATACAGCCATTTACTGTTACTACCAGCAGACTCCTGATGATGCACGAAACGAGAACATTTTATAGAATGAAGAAAGGACAATAATTTATCTTTCTATTTAAGCATCACTACCGCCATAGAAGCTTACTATTTGTAGGAAGTTTTCTAAAAGGAAAAACAAGCAAACAAACTCCACAGTTACTAAAAATTAAGAATAACATAGATCAGATAGAGACAAGCAGCTTTGATGGGCTATCCTAGCAGAAGCTTTTGAGGTATTCATAATACCTCTCAAAAATATGTTCAGGAAAAAAAGGCACACAAATTTGTGAGTGTCAACATACACAGCACAGCATACTGGTTTGTGTCATTATGGTGTTAAATCCAAACAAATGTATAGTTGGCAAGTAAATTCAAGGAAACCATAAAGTGCAAAATTACAGAAGTCACAAGCAAGATGAGCCATATACATTGTCAGTGGCAGAATTTAATTTATACACCAAAAATATTTCTAAGCATGCATACTGGCTAGCAGTTTAGATATGAACACATTTTGTTGTAAGGGATATTACAGTGAAAACATAGTAAGTCAACAAATGCATGACAACAGTTTTCAGAAATGTTATAGGTGATGCCCATAAACATCTACAATAGTTAATGTTCTTCAATAGTAACTTAGTTTAAAGTGATAAAAAAGGCTGAAAACCATGCAAAAATTTTGATACAGTAAATATACACATCACTTTGAAATGATGTCAGTTTTATATCAGCTAGGATATATATACCTGTGATAAAATCCTAAGAACTG